AATTTTTTGAATAATCTTCTTGTAACAAAATTTGATTGTGACGCCGAGTCTAGTATTGCTCTGCATGAAAAAGGTACGCCTGCTTCATTAGGAATTTGAATTATTGCTGTTGCGATTAATACCCGAGATGATTTGGTTTCAAACGGTGAACAAACCACATCCCCAGATTGACGACTTGTTTCATAGTGTAATAAAGTGTTATTTTGAATTACATTTTTTACAATTACCACTCTTGCAATCGTTCGCAATGTGTCCTATTTTTAAACAATTTATACACAACTTGTGCTTTCGTGCTGCTTCGGATCTTTCTCGGGGTGTTAACTGAAGAAACTCCTTGCAATTGTATATGTGATGTTGACCCCTACAGAAGATGCATTGAATGTTTACTGTGTTGAATGTATGCTCTTTGGATTTTACTTGATTTGGCTTTGGTTTTGATGTTGCGTCTTTTGCTGACAAGGTTCCTAATAGATCTGCTCTATTTCTTAAAAAGTTCATGAGATCGTCCAAAGATTGTAAAATATTCGGTTTTTTAATTTCTTCCCATTCACGTCTGGTTACCTGATCAAGTTTGTTAACAACGATATAGATTATGAGTGGGTCCCAATGCTCAAGTGGTTGCTTAAGATTTGCTAATGACCTTAAATGTTTAGTAACATTATCTATCAACTGACGTAATTGAATATGAGATTCATTATTTATTGTTGATTGATTGAGTAGAGCCCCTATATGGTTGTTAATTAGCAAAGGTTTATTATCAAATCGCTGGCAGATCAACTCCCATGCCAATATGTAATTATCAGCAGAAAATTCAAGTGCTTGAATTACCTGTAATGCGCTACCTTCAATTGAAGCTCGTAAATAATGGAACTTCTGAATTTGACCAATTGTGTTCTTTTGATGTATCAAAGACTCAAATGTATACTTAAATTCCAGCCATTGTTCATATCTGCCATCAAACTTAGGTAATCGAATTTCTGGAAGCTTTATGTTATTGTTCCGAGTAATGGTGTAACTTGTGACGATTGCACTGACTGATTATAGTTTGTGTGAATGCTAGGAACAGTAACTGCTGCTTCAGTCTTCCTACGCCTTACTAATAATTGTTTCCCTTGTGATAATGCTTTATAAAAACTGTTTTCAAAGTTATCCCTCTCTTTTAATTGTTCATCGTAATTTTCATGTATGTGTTCGATTTGGTATTGAATAGTTTCAAACTCAGATAGCAATGACTCAATTTTCTCTGTTCTTACTTCAAGTTCACATAGACATGTTTCGATTTCCTCACCTCGGGCATTTTCTAACGTTGGACTTGTTGAATTAAGAAAATTTGAAAAAGAAGTCAGCTTAGATTTTAAAGTGCCACGTTTTCTTACAAGAACCGTTATCTCTGCCATTGATCTTTCGAATAACTAATTTTCGTACGGAAAGGATGAAAAATGATAAAAGGAATTTGCCTGTTTTGTTGTCCAAACAGCGGCTACGCCTGGGCGTGTATGACCCTGATGACGTCACTCCAACTGAACGGCTTCTCGATTGATATGAAATTTACGCCAAGACTTGATTGGATTTTCTTCACGAATGTTATCGTAATCATCCGGCTCGAAGGACCATAACTTATGTATTTGAATTTGTCTTTTACTTGTATATTTGTTTTATAAACACGAACAACAAAACTGTTTTACGTTTTTATTCTTTCTTAAACTGTCAACGACACACACCCTTTTTTTACAACATACTGTCAACATAAAATAAAAATTGGTTACCAACCCCAAATAAATAATGGTACCAACAGTGGTCTTCATACCTAAAGGTGGTAGCCGTTCAAACGCCGACCTCAAAGCATACAGACCGATTAGCCTAACTTCATTTCTCGTCAAAGAGATGGAAAAGGTAATCAATCAATACCTTAAGAATGGAGTGCTTGTCATTAATCCGCTCCACCCTAGCCAATATGCTTACCAGAAAGCAAAATCAACAATTACTGCTCTCCATGCTTTGACTAGCACTTTAGAGGATTCAATTGCAACCAAAGAGATAGCCCTATGTGCTTTCATAGACATAGAGGGTGCATTTGATAACACCTCCTATGAATCCATAGAGAAGGCTCTAAACGTAAAAGATATACATCCGGCGACAATCAAATGGTGTTAGTCATGTTGAAAAGTCGGCAGATCACAGCCAGTCTGGGAGGCGAATCGCTGACTATAAAGGCGGTAAGAGGATGTCCACAAGGGGGAGTACTATCACCTCTATTATGGTGCCTGGTAGTTGATGACTTGATGAACACCCTAACAAAAAACGGATTCAAGATTCAGGGGTATGCTGATGACCTGATAATCACAATCCGAGGTAAATATGATACAATCATAACTCAACTAAAGCAGAAAGCCCTACTCCTCACCAGTACTTGGTGTAGAAGCAATGGGCTCACCATCAATCCAAATAAAATCGAAATAGTATCTTTCACTCGGAAAAGGAAGCTACAAATAAAAGCACTCTCCATTGAAAGCAGAACTATTAACCTCAAAACAGAAGTTAAATACCTAGGGGTAATACTAGACAGTAAACTAAACTGGAACTCACACTTAGATAAGGTGAGGAAAAAGGCCATCATGGCAAACCAGATCTGCCGCAGGCTCCTAGGAAGGAACTGAATGAAACCACGAATGGCTCATTGGGCCTACGTAGCAATAATCAGACCCATGGTCGCCTAGGTCTCATTAGTTTGGTGGCCAAAAACAAAACGTAAGACAGCACAACAACAGCTGGCACAAATCCGGCGAAATCCTCAAGAACCCATGTCTAAATCACCCGATTGAAATTAAAACGGACCTTATACCGACAGAATACAATTTCAACCAACCGTACAACGTCATATTTAGAAGCAGGGATGATTGGGCGAAGGAAGAGCCTCAACTAAAAAGAGAAGCCCTAGCCTGGTACCCCGATGCTTCAAAGACAGTTAGATCCGGAGTAGGTATGGGCATCAGTGGACTAAATAGCCACATTAAACTGCCCCTCAGCTCGGACATAACAATTTTCTAAGCAGAAATTCTTGCTATAAACTTCTGCACCGCTTTGAACCTACAGAAAAGTGACTACTACAGAAAGGTGCATCCATAAACATTTTCACAGACAGTCGGGCCGCCTTAAAGGCAATTCAGGCCTACCCGTGTGACTCCGCACTGATCAGAGAATGTACCAGCAACCTGAGAGAACTCGCTAGGGGCAATGATGTTACCTTATGGTGGGTTCCAGGGTACAGCAACATTGAGGGCAATGACAAAGCGGACAAGCTGGCCAAAAAGGCAGCGAACACGCCCTTCATTGGACCCCAACCTAACTATGGACTACAAAAAATCCACCTAAAGCAAATAATCAACAATTGGGAGGTCTCAAAGGTAGCCTTACGCTGGAAAGAACTTCCAGATCACAGACAAGCGAAGAGTATGATAACTCCGTCGCAAAACAAAACCAAAGAGGTTTTATGCCTCAGCAAAGGGGNGTGTATGTAGAGAGAGGGGTGCGTAATATTTACGCGCACTTAGGCCCCAGCGGGCCCCTTGTGCATACTCCCTTGGAGGCTCGAGATGGTAGAGAAGATCTCGTTAGGTGACGATACCGCTTACTCGTTTCCAATGACGAGTTACCGCCGCCCCGACCCCGAGGGGTCAGAGGGCGTTCACGCGCATTCGTCCCTATAAGTCGAGCCTCACACACATGCGTGCTAACAACAACCAGAGATGTTAGACTGGTTGCCGGGACCGACGGCTTAACGTCCCCTCCGAAGGGACGTCTGCGTGTTAACCCGAGAGCTAACACGCTGAGCCATCACGCCCCCTTGTTACCTTATTGAGGGTTCCAGGGTACAGCAACATTGAGGGCAATGACAAAGCAGACAAGCTGGCCAAAGAGGCAGCGAACACGCCCTTCATTGGACCCCAACCTAACTGTGGACTACAAAAAATCCACCTAAAGCAAATAATCAACAATTGGGAGGTCTCAAAGGTAGCCTTACGCTGGAAAGAACTTCCAGATCACAGACAAGCGAAGAGTATGATAACTCCGTCGCAAAACAAAACCAAAGAGGTTTTATGCCTCAGCAAACGGGATCTTAGGACGTTCTCAGGTTACCTGACCGGCCATGTGCCCCTAAAATACCACCTCTTCCACATTGGATAAAATGAGGATCAAACTGTGCAATTGCGTCGCCAGGCCGTCTAAGACACAACATTTTCGGTAAAACTATCTTGACACCGACCGACATAAAAGTTCAAGACCTCAGGGCAATACTAAGGTTCATCAAGGACCTACATTTACCCTGAACCTTTGGTTACAATTATAGGCCGCGGTAACGAGAGGGGCCGCTCCCCTCAGCCTGGCAGCAATAATAATAATAACCCGTACAATTTGAAAATTAGTACATATTTACTACTACTAGTTTTTTAACACCATGGAATTGCCATAAGAAAATATGAGTTTTAAAGCTCATCCTTTAATGGTATTTTTATGTCTCTTCAGTTTTTTCTTTAATCTTCGAGCAGGCGCGCTGTCATGAAATTTATGACAATTTTCGTTTTTATAATAATATCTCCTTATATTATGCATTTGAAAGGATTTAACGCTAAAATAGTCTCTATTTTAATTCGACATTACATTTATTTAAAATTAAGTTTCTTTTTAAATTATCCCGTCAAAGTCAGTTGTAAATAACGTTCTTATCATAGTTACAACTTAAAGGGAATGATTCGTTATTATAGGCCGCATTGTCTCGTTTCTTCACTCTAATATCCAAATCCTATTACCGAGTTTAGCATTTTTCTTAAAACAATCTTTAATTTTGCTGTACTAACCCATAATAGTAATATAAAATAAAAGATAATGTTCCTTAAATACCTACACATCATTCACTGACATCAATAGGTAAGATACCAAAGATTATCAATTTCAACTTTTTAAAAACAAAAAATGAATGGAGAAAAAACATAAAATCTTACCCCCCAAACTGGATCAGTTTCCTCTGGAAAGTTCTTAAAATATGTCTCCGCTAACTGCAATGGAGCTGCGCTTTTCAATTCGATATTCGTCCAACATCTCAAAAATCTTATAACCGATTCGAAAGTGTACAAAGCCAAGCGATCATTCGCATAATTTGACATATGAGTCATAAAGATGTTTACCTGTTAGAAAATCTAAAGTATAAACATTTTTGTTAATGAATATTCTAAGTCTCTTTTACCGGGTTATAAACTATCGTTTGAAATAATTCCCCTCCCCTAATCGATTCGTCCAATTTGGCTTCACCTCCTGGATAAGAATTCAAGAACATCGTGTGTGTGAATAACCCACATGTTTGTCGTGGCAAAACCATTATATCTCGATGTATGAAACCACGACGTAATCTAATAAATAAAAATTTTTTTTATAAAGATTATGTTATTTTTACTTGCCTAATATAAAAACATTAACCTGGCTGGTCTTAGGTGCGGATATTCCTCCGTGGACGTAACTCGAACATTCCAAACTTTTTTCCAAGCGGTGTATAACAATTCATGCACTGGATAAACACCGGAATGGTGAGGAGAAACTGAATAACCAGAATCAACCGGGATTCCTTAAACACAAAAAATTATTAGTTAAATATTTTCTTAAAAATCACTTTAAAAGTAACCCTTCTCTTTGGCAAACTTTTTATTCAACATCATATCCTCAATAAGCACCGTTAAATTATCATATAAATGCGGCTGTAGATGATTCCACATATGCGAAAACCACATGAACTTATCAACATTTTCCAAAAGTAAATCATCGCCTTGATCCTCCAAACGATTGCCATGATGAAAATATTTCCCAGAAAATCCCAAATTGAATTTGAACCCTGGAACCATCTGTTCAATGACGTCCTGTTTTTTAATCAACATTCTCACGTCGTCCGGTTTTAACCGCGTTCCAATTTCACCGACAAAAATGTCATCAATATCCACCAGAATTTTCCGTTCCAACGAAATACTCAACTGACCATGACTCAAATAACTGAGACAGTCCAAGAAAAGCAACCGATGGAGCCAAAAGCGGAGTCCCGATCCGAAAATCACCCTTTGAATATTATCGAATAAACCATGATCTTGAACTACCGTTGTTAAAGGTGTTTTTAAAGTGTTGCTTGGTTTTGATTCTTCTTGACGATGAGCCCATTCTAACGGTTCATAAGTTGAGTGATTTAATTGAAATACGGTCCAATCATCACCTGGTAGCGGACCCAATAAGGTTTCACCGGCTCTAGTTATACGCAAAATTTCTGATGCCGGATTTAAAGCTGCATCCTTCAAGAAAACAGAAGAAAAGATATTAATATGTATATACAACTTCTGGATTACAACGTCTTTATATTATCCCGTTAAATAAATACAGTCAAACAAAATTAAATTATTTTGGTTGCAGGAATGTTGAAGGTTGACTGAATAATCTATGGTGGTACAACATATGAAAAGAATTAGAAATTTAGAATTCCGCTATGCAGAAAGAAGTGTGGAACGATAGAATTCACAACGAAGAAATGAGGCGTGAGAGCATGGAAAAGGAATAGAGTAGATAACATATGACAATGGAACTTAAGGGGGCATGCTACCTTTGAAATTAAAAAAAATTAGCTTTTTTTTGTTTAAAGTGTATATTAGACTTTGAACAATGAGAATCCATTGACAGAAAAAAATTGCGAACGTTTTTCTGTCTGAAAACTTCATTTTTGTAATGCACCTACTAGATAAAAATTCCAAGCCACCTATAACTTTTTTGTCTTTCCTTTTTAGTCGATTATATATGTATATCTAGGTATTTTGACATTATTTAGACATATAGTTTGCTATCTGAGAAAGCAAGAAAGAAGAAACCTGAAGAATAAAGACAGGCAGAAGTATAAAGAAGTACAGAAGGACATTAAATATAAACGCCGCCAAGCAAAGGAAAAATGGATAAAGGAGAAATGTACCGAGATAGAAAATCTACAGAGACTACATGACTCCCACAGTGTGGATAAAAAGATAAAAGAACTTACTGAAACTGATCAGAAACAAAAGTACATATATATAGATGAAGAGGGAAACATTGTGTTGAATATTGGGGATCAACTGATTCTATGGGAAAACTGCATTACATTACATAGACAACATATCGGGTAGGCGGACCGACCAACCTTGCACCGCGACCCTAAGGATCTATTGTACCCCGATAGATATCGTTATCAAATTTCACCGCGCAGTCCAATGCTCTTAACGAACATTAATACCTTGCTCGGTGAAAGGTCACTCAGATCCTTTGAGGAGATAAACTGTGACCTAAAAATCGAAAATCTGATACAGTTAACAGCAGAGCCGTGGCATAAAACATGCTCAACCGTCTCTGCTTCCTCCGCACATAGTCGGCATTCAACATCGTCGGCTAAACCCAACAAGTTGAGACGTGCTTTTAATAGGCAATGCCCAGTAAACACCCATTAGAACTTTTATGCTGCTACGAGCAAGTCCTAAAATATTCCCGGGAGTTATACTGGCGATGTTAAGAAACATCGTATTCCAGGAGAACTGGTCCACAGTAGGCGAAGTCTGTCTTCAGCCCACAGTCCAATCCTATATTTGGCTATTGCAAATGATACACCAACTGCTGGTTCCGGCCCCACAAACGCTTTAGCGCTGCCCTCTCGTGTCGCTTCATTGCCAGCAACCGCAGAGTGACCCGGGACCCAGATCAGAGATAGCGCCTGGAGAGCGGCGTGACTGTCTGAGAAAAGTCGTACTGTCATGTTCTTCACCCCTCTCTCAAGAAGGATTTTAGCATCCATGTCAATAGCAAATACTTCCGCCTGGAATACAGTACAGTACGTACCCAGGCTGTAAGCTCGCTTAATTCGAGGTGTCTGGCAGTACACTCCTGCTCCGACCCCTTCCGGCGTTTTTGATCCATCTGTGAACATGCAAATATCTGCCTGTACCACAGAATTTTCATTTTCGATCCAGTACTGCCGTTCAGGCAGTACAATCGGGTATCGAGCATTAATCACTGATAGTGATCCCGCCAAATCTGACGGCGTTGATAGCACAGTATCAGTGCTTATAATGTCTTCCGCAGCCCATTGGTAGGACATGTCTGAACAGTTTTGAGCATATTGCTTAAATCTGTAAATGGTTGTTCTAGCCACTTTCTCTATATGCAAATGAAGAGGAGATAGGAAAAGCAGAACCTCCATTGCTAGAGTTGGCGTTGTGCTTATCGCACCAGAGATTGCCAATCCAACTACTCGTTGATTTCGTGAAACTTTACTGATAACTGAAGTCTGTCGGACTTTCCTATACCAGGCTGCTGCTCCGTATGTGATCATAGGTCTAACCACAGTCACATAGAGCCAATACAGTCTTTCAGGGGTAAGACTCCAATTTTTTCCACAAAGACTGTGACAAGTCCACAAGGATAGTATAGCTTTGTGTAAAACTCCCTGCAAATGTCCATTTCATAAGAGGGTTTTGTCTAGAATTACTCCTAGATATTTGACTTCCTTTGAGAAAGGAATTTCTTCACCTTGGATAGTTGGGCGGATTAGTCCATCCAACTTTCGTTTCCTGCTGAAGGGCACAACAATTGTCTTTTGCGGGTTTATCGAGAGGTTTTCTCCCTTACACCAAGCGCAAATGGTATCTAGGGTCTTTAGAGGACTTTAGATATCCTGGACAAACAGGTTCCTTTAATCATAACGACAATGTCATCAGCATAAGCTTATATTTCTACACCAACGGCTTCGACTATCGCAATCAGATCGTCAACTAGAAGGGACCAAAGCAGGGCAGCCACCTCCCGGCCTGAAGCGTATCGTATAACCGTGGAGTGAAGTAGAAACTATTCTACCATCAAGCATATTGCAGATCCAACCCGCTATAGTTGCTTCCCCTGTCAAGAGCAGCTCTTTCAAGAGATTGTGGTATTGCGTTGTTGAACGCACCTTCTATATCCACAAACGCACAAACCAAGATTTCTTTATCCTGCAGCATCCTAGATACTCTACCAACTAGGTTCTGTAGAGCCAATTCTGCTGATTTTCCCGCTTGATAAGCATACTGGTGGCGATACAGTGGACCAGATACCAATGACACCGTATGGATATACCGTTCTAGAACTTTTTCAAGGGTTTTCAACAGAAATGACGTTAGGCTGATGGGTCGAAAGGCATTAGGAGTAGGGACCGAACGGCCCGCTTTAGGTATATAAGATACCTTTAGAAGTAGATAGAAGATACCCTTATTACCTTAATCCTTCCAGGCGACACTCGCTCTGAAAATATGGAAAAACTATATGAAGACTCTTTTCAATGACCAGAGAGGAGACATAGAGATCAACACTACCCGCAGATGCATTAAAGTTGATTGAAGAATAACATCTAGATTTTGTAACGTCCCTATTTAATAAAATCTATGAAACAGGAACAATACCAGAAGAATGGCATCGGTCAACGTTTATAACAATTCCTAAGAAGCAAAACGCTAAAAAATGTGACGAACACCGTACGTTAAGTCTAATGAGCCACACACTAAAGATCTTTTTCAACTGATCTATCGTAGAATCTACAAAAAGCTGGAAGAGGATATGGCTGCCACCCAGTTTGGCTTTAGAAATGATTTCGGCACAAGAAATTTTTTACCTGGGTGCGAATGTCCGTTGATACTGTTCGGAAATAAAGTCGCACATTGAGAAAGCCAGTGCATCCTTTGTAAAGATCAAGAAGCTGCTCTGTAGTCGCGATCTGAGCCGGGATCGGTTGTCCAAATGTTACCTTTTCTGCTGTTTCTTGCCACGTTTTTGTGTTGACAAGAGCAAATACCTTTAAACCATATTTGGAAGATTTATTAGGCATATGCTAAAAGAATCCAACATGTCCTCTGAATGGCTAAAAGTTCTCATCAACTGTCTCCAAATGGCTCCAAACATCAGAAGTGTATTGCCGGTTTCCCTTACGTATAACTCTGGTCAGTAAAGTAAACCAAAAACTACTTTGATATCTTTTCTATCAGGCTCTTTCATCAAATATTGATGGTTTGCAACATATCCAGAGGTGTTATGTTGAAAATGCTGCCCTTCACCATTATTTCACTTTTTTGTGATCAAACTAACAATTTTAGGAGAAAATGTCAAAAGACAAAAAAGTTTTAGATTGAATACCTTCATTTAAATAAAGTTTTGAAATAGACTACTATAGGAATTGATTTTTCACCCCCTTGTAATAACATTTTGGAGTGACAAGAATCGTGAAAATGTGCTATTTTATTACCATGTTATCTACCAAATTTCTTTTAAATTTTTCCATAGTGGATATATTAAATAAAAACTATTTTTTCTCTTATAAGTAACTTGGAGGAGAAGGTTTTTGAATCAAAAAATATATAAAAGATTCCCTTAATTTTTGCTGAAAAGTCACCATTTAAAATCCTTCGCATCAATTTAGAAACATTCTGTATAATGGAAGATCGAAAAAAATGTAAGTTCCCACGGTCATGGCGAAAAATTAAACGATATATTATGGCCTAGTAATTCACTCAAACAACAATTCCAGTCGTTTTCCCACACAGAGTTAATGTTATGGTTGTTTCTAACCAGTTCCTCAGCAAGATATAATGGAGGGTTCTGTTCTGATTTGAGGCAATTCATATCAAGATAAGGTACTTATAAATCAGCAGCAATGGGTTGTCAGTTATTTTCATGAACTCTTTTAGGAGAGCATTCTTTCTTCGCAGTTTTGGCGGGCCATATTGCTTAGCGTTTGGAGCCAGTAAAGACAAGTAGATTTAAGACATACTGATATTGTTCTCACGGGCGAGTTCGGTTGTGTGTCGATTTTCTCAGTATATAGACTGTTTATTCATACCTGCGCGCTGTACTCTGCAACAGAATAAACCAGTGAAAAGCCGTAGAGTTTTTGTGTGATGTTATTGCCAGTTCAGATTTTCGCAAATGTAGTCTCTAGATGTTTTGTAAAGGAGTCAAGTTATGTAATTAAAACTGACTTGAAATCTCCTGGATGTCATTTTATTTTTTTAGTTGGAAGGCGCTGTCCTCTATCTTTGTTAGGTTAAATTTTAGTCTCCACTTATAAAATATTCTCCCATAGGTCTCGTTGGAGACACTGCTATATCATCGACATAGATAAATGTTGTGGCATAAAAAGTATGGGCGCGAGAAATGGGTCCCGCGGGAGTCCGTTGTTCAGTTTTTCTGTTTGCCGATAAATTTTACGATAGTTACGGAATGGCACGATTCACTTGAGTTTATATAGCAGCCCGAA